TGCAAACTGGTTGAGCTATTCTTAGGTTATAGATGTGTGTAATAAAATGTTGGGCCGCCGGCAGGCCCCGGCCATGGAAGGGGTTAAACTTAAAGTGAATAACTGAGTTAACTTGAACTTTTGAGGTCACTGAACCTGTTGTATTAATTTAGCAGAAGAATAATTTGAAGTTCGATGAACTCCTCATTTCAAGTTTACTTTTTTTTAATTTGAAAAACTGCATAGCTTTTCAGAGTGTAGTGTGAGGAGCTTCATCACTTCATTCAGAAGCTGAAACTTTGAGTACTTCCTTACAGGCTATAACTCTCATGCTTGTAGCTAAGTTTGAGCCCAGTTTGAGCCACTTTTGGAGATTCTAATCCTTTTAGCACTTGTGAAAAAAGTTCTGTTTGATAGAGCACAGCTGCTCTGTCATCTTGGGTGTCGCCATGGCCATGCCAGAGATGACTCTGATTGGTCAGAGAGTTCATGTCACGGTGAAAGTTCGCAAAAATTGAACAGAGGGTAAATAAAATAATGTCGTCTAAAAATTCCTTCAGTTACACAGGAGCTCTAATTGATTTGTGGACGCTGGAAGAATCGAACAAATAAATCAAGCTTGTTGTGTAAAGGCATTTCCAGTTTTCTGTAAACTTTGACTAGAAAACAGTGTTGGATGTGAATCTGTCACGCCTGACTAATGTATCAGATATGTTTTACAAGGTTAGTTCCAGCAGGATCTGGTATATCTTATCAGAGCATCACCATTGCCAAGACAGTATCCACCACAGTAGGCCTAACCATGCAGTGTTTTGGTGACCGAGTGTGAAGAGTAATGTATGTGTGTGAGGGTTGAGATGTGTGAAGCGTGCGTGTTTGTAGGAAACGTGTGTGAACGACTTGCGTAACGATCTGAAAGAGCTCAGCAGTAAGTCCCCCTGCTGTGTGATGGCTCTTGCAAGCCTAATGAATAATGGAGTGAATGTGCTGTAACTAGCCCATGCTAGACTCTCACATTCTCTTTCTCTTTCCTTTTCTATTTTCACTGCAGGCTTACAGTTTCATATATCTGCCTTTTCCCACTTTCTCTTCTACATGAATGTCATCTGTGGTTACAGTCTCATCTGTGGTTACTTCCTATTACTAAAGGTTATCCAGGTATGTGTCATGTTGAGACACTGGAGACAGTAGATCATTGATCATAGACCTTACATCAGAAGTGGTTCTGGAATAGGCTATATTGGCTCCCATGGATGCCCACTTGGGACACTGGGCACATTTTAAAGTTATGCAAGTTGGCACCCTTTACGCTGCATTTGGCTAAGGGACCACCCATTAAACTCGGTGGCCTGGGGCACCACCGCTCCCTGAGTTAGTGTTCTTGCTATTGGTCATGTGGGCATTTCCAGTTCAGTGTTGGCTAGTTGCCTGCTTTTGCTAGTCTAAAGGTGACATGGCATATAAATGTGGAAATTGATTCAGTTCACCATATATCTTTATAAAATATGCACTGAATATACTGGAGTGTTATCAAGAGAACAAAATTCTAATTTAAAGCACAATAAAAATGCAACATTGAATTAGCTAAACCTCATTTTGTGTGTTTTTGCCATAGTAGACAATTATGCCAGGCTCTGACTTTATAGCAGAAAGTCAAAAACATACATGCAGAAAATGTATATATTTTTTTGTTTGCTTGCTTGTTTTTCTGGGTGCCCTGGCTGTCCATGCTTAAAATGTCTAGTGTTTTCAGTCTGGTCTAAGCAATTTCAATATCACTGCAGTTTTAGGACTGTTCTATGCAGTTTTACTATCGCAGCTTAGAGGAGCACAAAGACTTGATGGCCCCCCCCCTATCCATAGTGAGCACCTGTGTTTGCTTTGCTTTGGATACAATTTAGTTCTGTCACTGTTTTAAAATCAGTGAACAACTGAAACCTGGAAATGAAAACCGAAACGTCCTAATTTTGTTGGACTGAACACCACAACAGTTTGCCTGTTATTACTGGTACGAATGTGTTTAACAGACTCGTCAAATAAATCTGTGAACATTCATGACATGACCTCCTTGCTGTGTTCCACACACTGTTCCCTCCTCTTTCTAAATGACCACTCTGTCACTGCCTTGGAAACACTCGTTTTTTGTTGTCGTGTCTTTTCCTTCCGTTTTCTTGATGGTGGTGGTGTTGGTGGTGGTTTTAGCGCTCAACAGTTTTTTATGTCAAAAAAATGGAAAACGGACTGCAAATAAATGTTTACATCTTCATATAACATTTCTCTATGATTGCCCTTCCTCGCTGTTTTCAGGTCTTCTTCGACATAGGTTATCAGCTTATTCATGGACCTTTATCTTATACCACCTAAATGTGTGGTGGTGTTATTTTTCCTTCTTTTTTTTTTCTCTAGGTATCTGCTCAGGCATTTTACCAGTCAGTGGAGTGGAAATCCTGCACCACTTGTGGTTCCTCACTCCCACTCAAAAAACAAATGCACATACAAACAGTAACAGTTAACACTCATATCAGACATAACACCAGTTTCTTTTAGAACTAAATGAAATGGATGTTCTAATCTAATTTATGACGTTAATCCAGATAAATGAAATAGATCCCACAGAAAAACTGAGAGGGAAATGAGCTTGCTGAGTTCTAACAATTCTCTGTCCAATGTCCAATATCAGTTGTTCACATGCCCCCTTTTAAAGTTGTTTTCAATAGCCATTTCAGTGTGTTAATACTATAATGACATTTTATATGTCATTACTATTTGTTATTTTAGGTTGCTAAGCAACATGTGTTGTAAATTCATCTATATAACTGTACGCTGATACTGCTTATTAAATAGAATTTTCTAAGTGCCTGAAATTTTTGTCCAGTACTGTATGTTCCACTTGTATTGTGATGTGATACTATAGTGACTTTTGCTCCAGCAAATTGGAGCAAAACGTAGATGGCAAAGCATGCTGGCTTTTCCACAAGCAACAAAGAGTGCCTTGTACTGTGCTCAAGATACAGATTTTTGCCTTGTTTTTGGAGTTTCTGTTTGGTTGCTGTGTTATACTCTGGGCTGATTCTGTAACCTTTTGTTACTAGATTATTATATTTTATATCCAAATTAAAAGTGCTATTGTAACTGGAGTATGCAGTTATTTTATTTCAGTAAGGTAAAGGTCACGGAGTTCTCTCAGCTGTCGTGTGTGTGTGTGTGTGTGTGTGTGTCCACATTTTTTAATTAATTTATTTATATTATGTATATATATATTACAGACACACACAAGACAGCTGTGCGAACCCAGTGACCTCTATATATGTACATGTGCATGCGCAGTGTCATAGGCTGCTATATATGGGTTGTATAGGGTTTCCCTACCCGTGTTAACTCTTCAGATATATTTTGCTGCTGGAGTTGTCACTTTCTCAATGTGTGGGTGGGCATGTGGCCTAGATGGGTTTGGCCACCCAAGATTAGAGAACTGTTAAAGAGGTCTTCCTCCCAGCCGCTGCATGCAGCCCTCAGGGTCATGGAGTTGTAATGAGAGAGCTGTTGTTTGAGAACACATCACTTCCTCTTCCCCCACTGTGGAAATAACATGTGCTCACACCATCCCAGACTGTTCCACTCCGTCCCACACAGACCATAAAAGCAGAACAAAACAAGACCTCAATACTGGCTTTTATTTGAGAGTGTGAATTTTTCACATTTACAGTCATCTTTCTTTTATATAAGCTTTTACTGCATGTTCTGTTTCTTTAAGAAAGGCTTTGTGAGTAACCCAGTAAACATTATTTAAAATAATAGAATAGAATTATTACCATGTAGCAACTGAACTATAATTCCATTCCAATTTGAAATTTTAATCAATAATCAATGTTTCTCCTACCATAGAAATTAGGGGTCAGACTGCCCAGTTGTTCCAATCACTTGTCCACTAATCCTAAAGCAGTAGTTCTGCATTAATTGCAACATGATAGTTCTTGATGTAATTGAATTTTTAACTTGAACAAAGTCCTCCTGGTCTTTCTGGCATTCATTGTGGTGTTTGGCTGCTGAAATGAGCCCAGAGCCACAGGTTAAACTAGGAGTGATGTGGCACGAGTGGAAAACCGGAGCCGCTCCACCATGACTATTAATTCAGACTGAGCACAACTCTGATGCATCATGTGGGAAAACTGAAGAGCATTTGTCACTCTACAGTAGACACCGTGCAAACATTCTTGACAGTCATATTAGTTTAAAACATTCCACTTGTAAATGATCAAATAAAGTTTATGTACATTCGAACATAAATGTGACTTTCCGAAAGAATGCATGTCAACTACATTGCTGTGAACGTTGTGTTTGGTCGTAGGGATGCACGATGATATTAAAATCATATTGGTGTCAGCAGATACCAGTAGAAAGAAAATAAACAGTACACAGATGTTTAGATTTGACTGGTACATCAAGATTATATTTGATGACTTGTGTTTTGCACTCAGGAAGATCAGAATGCTTAGGTGATGCTGTGCTACTTTGCTGCCATTCATTTTACTGCATACAGAGATAAACAGTACATTTCTCTAATGATAATCCAAGTGGATGTGGTCCCAGTTTCTGCATTTCATAAATGTTTATGTACTGGGATTGACGTTGGGATCGGCAGATGTGTACATATGTATGAAATGCATGTGTACATGATCGGCCCACAGTCGCCATATCTGTATAGCCCTATTTGCTATTGTTTAGAGCTAGAAACTGCCAGCATGGGAAGTTGCAAAAATATAATGCATAATGCATCAAACTGTGCTTTGTGTGCATGTGCTGACTGATATTGGTACAGAAAGCTTCACAGGTTGACATTGGAGTGTATTACAAACAGCACAGACACACTCCCTCATACAAATTGTCACTAATAAAAAGTACATTTATGAATATTTAAAGTTGTCTCTGTTTATATAGACAATTGGGTGACATTCTGTGCTGTTGCTCTCTTTTTAACTGTTGCTTTTTCCACTTCTAATTGGTTCCATTTTGTTTTCCAGAGCCTGGCTGTGTTATATTGGAATGGAGTCAAGCAAATAGGAAATCAGCTGAGGTGAGGCTTGATTATTCTTTCCTGTTCTTGTCACCCACATTTCCTTGTTATATTGTTGGTCTGTGGTGTACACACAATACACACACAAACCTCGAACATTGAGAGTGGACTTTTTAACCTCTTAACCGCACTTAAACAAAGCTGAGCGAGTGAATAGAGAAACAGCAACAGAGATGAGGACGACGGTGCGTTAGAGGAGGAGTGCTCTCTTGGGGAATCTTTTCTCAGAAGAAGTGAACCAGCCGCATGGTGAGACAGGGATGCTGCAGTTACAGAGAGTTTTTCCTGGTTTTAGCAGAATAAAAACCTGTCAGGGGACACAGTGAATGTGTATGGAGCGAGTTTACAGCAGCATGTCTCCTGTGTATACTCTCTGTCAAGTCTTTATAATACCCAGAAATAGGTCTCCACTTCACGTACTACTTACTATATTACAGGAAACTCACAAAACATAAAAGGAAACTGGAGCATCCAGTGTGTCCATGCAGATCTTGTGTCTTCTCAAAGTTTGCGTAACTCTAACTCTAAGGGTGCACTGATTTCAGCACAGTATCAAAACTGAAACAGTGTAATGAAATTGGGCCTGCAACAAATCTTCAATACATTTAGTAATTAAAGTGTTCTATAATGGAAATGTTGTTCCAATAGCTAACCTTTTTCTACTGCTCTGGACTGCTAGCTAGCATGTTCTCAGTTGTATCTCTTGCTGAGTAATGAGTGTGCTGTCTATAGGAACTCTGAAAAAAATTCAGACTATGCAGAGTTTAGCATGTGTGCCAGTTTTGAGTGGGTTAAAATCACCTTAAGGCAACTTCCTTTAAAGAAGTATTTAATCAGTGATGTTTTCTTCTTACGTTGTAAAATTTTGATGATTTTTTTTTTATAGTAAAATAAAATAATAGAAGGTTTGCATTATTAATAACAACAACAAAACAACAATGGGACTCATTCACCAATATCTAAGTTTTTTTTAGGTTTGTTTTTGAGAAATGTCCTAAATAAGAAGTTTCATGATGTGTTCTTAAATTCCCACAGAATTGTTCACACCTGTGTGCTCTTGAGTATGCTTAGATTCTGTTCTGAATATTTATAAAAAAACTGCATAAAATGGTTTTAAGAAGAAATTCCCTCTTAAGAACGGTTGGTAAATGAAGTCTATTATTATTATTTGGCACTAAATTAGACAGAATTAAAATATGTACAAAATCTATGCTGAGTGTCGTTGCCCTCCTCAGCATCTGTACTCAATCATACATTTGAGTAATGTTGATATTGATGTTTTATTTTTGGAGATTTATAATGTAGATTGAAAGATTGTTTTATATGAGGCAGTTCAGATTTTTATGTTGTTTATAGTTCAGTTCCACTTTTTTTTATTCAATCACTATTTTGCACAAGGACATGCTACACTAACTTTATAATTTTATTTTTGCATATTTCTGATTCACATCAATCAGTCAAGACATTTAAACACAAAAAACTTACATTTTGTTAAATCTTGACCTTAGAATCAAGATGTAGATCAAACATGTAAATATGTGTATTGTTGCACCCAATATGTGTATATCTGGCCATAGAACAAAATGCCACAATTGAAATAGATTTGATGATATTGATTAAAATATTGTGGCTGAAATCCTGGAATGTTAGATAATCTTGCAAAGAGTGAATGCAAAGTAAGTATTTTACACGAGTGGTTTGTATTTACAGATCACCAGTTGTATCCTTTAAATGTAGTGAGTCGCTGACTGATGCTTGTCACTGCAGCTCTTTTTGCTTCTAAAGTCTTTGCTAAAGCAGTCTGTGAGTACAGGCTGTGACCATGTTTATATTGTTGTTATAATGTATATTATTATACATTTATAAAATGTATAACAACAATGGACTATAATGAAATCAAGACCACTTTCTCATTCCTGTATGTTAGAAGTTTCAGACTTGTTAAAATTGTCATTCTGGACCTTTTTCTACTGATTTATCATATGTGTATAATTTTCTTATCACAGTTAGCCATTGATTTTAGTACATTGTGTGGTGGTCTCTCTTTGTCAGGATAACACACTGAGTGTTCTCTTATAGAAGTCTTTTACAAAACTTCACAGAGGGGGATTAGGTTCTTTTCTGCATGGCTTTGTCTTTACAGCAGTGTGCATGCAATTTATCAACTGGCAATAACAAAGACTTCCAGCAAGCCTGCCAAGACTATGATAAACTCTTATCTCAACTTTTTTTTTCTTACGTTTGTCAATAATTTTGGAAGACATGTTAAGGAACTATAGCAGTGCTGTTTCTGTTAAATTTATAAATATAAAAATGACTTCCATTTCTGGATCTGTGAATTGACTCTGGGGACTTCATGAATCTAACTGCCTTCTTTAGCCCAACTCCCTGATCCACGTAGCTCTCTCCTTTTTGAAAAGTTCCCTCCCCCTCTCTCTCTCTCATATTCTCTTTCTTGTCTTATCATCCATCAGCTATCTATTCCCCTTCCGGCATTGTTATTCATGTTGTGTGCCACATTTGTATAGCTTTCAGGCATGACTAAGCAGTAAGTGAGGCACACGATGCCTCTAGCTTTAATTCCATGAATACCACTTAAGTCAATTCTTCGTAAGGAGGTACCACTTTAGGACGCTCTCCCGAGTCAGTTTAAAATATGTGAAAGTACATTTGAAATCAGTGCTCTTAATTGTTTCTCCGTCAGGCCTCCTGCTGATCTCTCCTGTTGAGTCTGGAGCGCGGCGCAGGAGGGCACAGAGGGGCTGCTGAGATGAAGACGAGCTTGAAGCAGTGGCGGCGGCTGGCCCTGGGCCTCATGCTGACCTGGGTGCTGGTCTTCCTGGCCCTCTTCTCATACTTCATGGAGTCACGGGTGGATGAGCCACGCACGGCGGTTGCTCTCTCGCACACCGACGCCCGCCGCCTTGGCTCCGTGCGGGGGAACCCTCGCGCCATCATGGCCTCTCACCTGGAGCTGCCCACCAGCTCCGCCCCCGCCGCCTTCAGCCCCCAGCCAGAGCAGAGCCTGGAGCAGAACCCCAGCAGGGAGCCCCAGGTTGGCCAGCTGAGCCAGGAGGCCTACCCCTACCCTGACCCGCAGAGCCTGGCCGCATGGTCAGCGTTCGGCACCCAGGACGTGGGCGTTGTGACACGCAGCCGTGAGAGGCAGGAAGACGTCCGAGTCTCTCCTCATCAGGAGCAAGATGAGGAGGAAGAGGAGGAAGAAGTGGTAGTGGGAGGTAGGACTACGTACTATAGCTTTAATATAGTATAGTTAATCATTATCACTACATTGGCCTGTACTGATGTCACAGAAGGCGGCAGTATGCAAATGAGCGCTCTAACTAGTCATAAAATTGTGTGCTATGAGCAACATAATCAATGACAGTTGATTAATATGATCCACATAAAACAACTTTTATCAGAATGGTACTGTATGATAAAACAGTCTTGATTTGTATTGCGATTGTTTAGCTTTTAAACTTCTATAAGGTTTTTTCATTTTTAATCTAATTTAAGCCAAAATGGATCATTTGTGCAGCCTGTCACTCAGGACATGGAATAAGCAGAAAGCAAATGCAACAGCTAATCAGACAAGTTGCTGAATTGCACTCTCACTTGGAGGAATCAAGCACAATGTAAGATTTTTCAGTTAAAGTTGAAAGAAGTAGCATTTCTGCACATTGCGATGTGGTGTACGTGCACTGCTGAATGTCCAAAATACCCTGTAAAGGTGGAAATAAGCATGCAAAAGTCAGAGCCGTTGCATCTGATTTCACAGGAGGTTTTCAGACCACGTCGTACATTTATGCTTGTAACGTTAATATCTAGAGACATTTGACGTGGTCTGTAAGATTTTTCAGTTAAAATGGAAAGAAGTTGCATTTTCGCACATTAAAAAACTGTGTGTGTGTGTGTGTGTGCATGTGTGTGTGCACTGCTGAAAGCATGAAATGCCCTGTAAATGTCAGAGGCATTGCATAGAGTTTCATGGGAGGTTCTCAGACCAAGTCAGATGTCTTAACATATTAACGTCACACGCACAGACTCTTATAAAGAGGTCCAGCTGGATGTTTAGGTCTCAAATGCAAAATACTGATGATGAATTCTCTTTCACCATGTTCACAATTATCAGATCCTTCTTCTTGCGGAAGGGGTTCAAAGCACAACCAGTGATACTAAAGCTTATTCTACACATTATGCATTTAGTGTGCATAGTGTAGCTTTAAACCTGATACAGGAACATGGTGAGTTGGCGATAAAGTTAGGCTTGGAGATAAAATGATCAAAATGAAACTTTTTTTTTTTTTTTACTGTTAAAAGTAATGTCATTTTGGTAATTCTGTATTAACCGTAAATTAATTTGGTACAGTTTCTACTTAAGTACACTAAGTACACTTATTCATTAAACTGATCAATACAAACCAGTGTGATGGTTATAGGAGACATATTTCACCCATAACTTCTGCTATAGCACTAATAGGATTTTCACTGTCACGTTAGCATTAAGCTAAAGGTGGCTTCCAAATGTTTATAGTAGCTCTTTAGGTTGGACATGGACATTTGAAGCTTGTAACAGACAAGTCGAATATTCTGTGTTTTGGATGTTGCAGTTTGGATGTTGACTCTTTCAGTAAATATTTTAAACTTAAACTGACTATGAATATTACTGGGGCCTTTAACCTGTTGGCCAGTCTGGTCAGTTTTGTCTAGTGAAGTCTGATTATTATAGCCCAGTTAACCCAAAGAGCCTGTTAACAGCAACAGATAAAGAGTTGGCTGAATTGTTTACTGGGTTCAGTCTGAGAGGTCTGTATGTGGAACTGTAGCCACGATGGTGAAAGAATGAAGGCTGTAGTGTTTATTTGAGTGGGGTGAAAGGGAAATGCACCACAATGGCAGAAAGGTCAGTTTCACAGTTTCCTGACAGGAAGATTCAGTGGTATCACATGAATAAACTAACTGTCGAATTTGTGTATTAAACGGCTTAGAGTTAGGTTTTTTAAACAGGTTGGGTTTTTTTTATTATTTTTTTATCTGTTTATTTTTTTAACTATTGCTCTTTTTTACTCGTCCATAATCATGTACCTTTTCCTTTCATTTATTTCTATCCCATTCCTACAGTCTTCTATAAACTGCTATTAATTGTTCATAATCTTCAGTTAACCTGTTTAATTGTGTTTAATTAATCGTTTAACATTTTGTCATTTATTCACGTATTTATTGTCAGCTGAAAATACATATTAAAATCTATATATTGTCGCTGTCCAAAGAAAAACAAGTATCTCTAAAATAGTAACTTTATGGGGCAAAAACTTTCTTTACCTTCAATGTAATTTAATGGAAAGAGATTTTATTCTAAGCAATTTTAGAACATTTCTATTGGTCCAGTCATCATCAAGTGTTCACACAATGTAAAGGCTGCTGAGCCTAAATGTTGCAGAAAAGTAAAAGTGGCAAAAATTGAGATACATGTTTTTCATTGGACAGCGACGATATCCTAAACCAGTGGACAGTTACGTTGATTTTGTTTCATTTACCTCTCTCTCTCTCTCTGTCTCTGCTTCTGTGCTTCTCTGTTGTCTCTCATACATTAAAAAGCCTTACCACACTTTCATAAAGTCTGACATTAGCCCCAGACCAACAGCGGTCATGCACTTCAGCCTCACCAGACACTGATGAAGGCGTCAAGACCAAGCTTGTTCACTCATATAGTAACAGACAGAAGAGTACACAAAAGTAAAACAGAAATGTGTTGATGTGCTTTTTATGCAGGAAAAGTACAGCTGAATCTAATCTTGTCACACTGAGGATGCATTTTATTAAGAAGTGTAAACGGAATCTGGCCACAGTTTATCCAGATACGTTCCAAACATGGAACACATGTTAATGCAAGTGTTAAAAAAACAGGCTCAAATTCAGAAATTCACATTGACTCAGACAGATCATGGTCAAGGGCGTGCTCATTCTCACAGCACTGAAACAATGGAAAGTGAAGAGGGTTTGAAAGTCTTATGTCGCAATGTAATAATCTGATCTGCGTCAAAGCAAAGATTTACACCTTTCGCTGTCTGTAGTTTGTGTTCTTTGGTGCCAGTTTCTGCTCAGTGAATGCGCTCCCAAGGACTTGATTTGTCAAAAGCATGAGGCAGTTGTGGACAGCAGCAGCTGCTAAGAAATGATTGGAGGGCTGAGAAAATAAAGCTGATGTGTCTGATCCACTAGTACCAGTGCAACACACACTGACGTGGTGGTGACGTGTTAGTGTCACTGCAGTGCTGAGAATGATCTACCACCCAAGTAATACCTGCTCTGTGGTGGTCCTTTAGGGGTCCTGATCATTGAAGAACAGGGTGAAAGCGGGGTGACAAAGTATGCAGAGAAACAGATGGTCTACAGTCTGTAATTGTAGAGGAGAAAATGGTGGAGAGTTAAAAAGGCTGTGAATTGTTTCAGAATGGAGAAATTTCTAGAAACAAAAATGCTTGGAGGGTTAAATGTAAAGTTCCATTAAAGTGTATTTAAGTATAAAATGTTTATTTTAATTCATACTTATGTTTTGATTTACATCGTGAGATATTTGGCTATATCACCGAAGAAAACACCGAAGTAATTCAGACCAGTCCTTAACTGTGTGATATTAAGGGATCACACTGTTATTTTTAACATAATTGTAAGGCATTGCAATCTCAGTGTAGCAACTGAGTGACAATACGTTATGATCCATATTTTGCAGGCGTGGTGGGAGGAGAGGAAGAGGACGATAACGAAGAGGAGAGGAGCATCGCGTCTAAAAGAACGGCAGCCCAGGGCTGGGAGGACTCTGATCTGGAGGAGTACTACTTCTCCAAGTCCAAGTCCGTCATGCACCGCCTGTGGAAGGGCAGTGTGTCTGTGGGTATGCTCAGTCCCCGCCTGCAGAGAGCTGTGAAAGACTACCTGAGCGCTAACAAGCATGGAGTGGCCTACAGGGGCCGGCGGAGGCCGCAGCAGAGCAGCAAACAGGTGCTGTGCGAGATGAAAAAGAGAGGCAGGGTCAGGACGCTGGACGGAGCTGAGCTGCCCTTCTCCGCGCTGGGTTGGAAGAAAATTGTGCCGGCCTCTTCTCTTGAGCAGCTGTACGGTTCGAGCTTCCGCTCCTGCGCTGTGGTCACCTCAGCTGGTGCCATCCTCCACTCTGGCCTGGGCAAGGAGATTGGTGAGTAGAGACTGACTGGTAGAAAGGGAGGCGGTAGGGCAGTGTCCTTTCTTTGCGTGTGATGTTCCATAAACAAACAGAAGCACAATTGTACTTTCATCATGAAGGTCTATACACAGGAGAAGACTGAGGAAATGTTTTGATTCCAACATACACAAATGTTCCTATTTTGAGTAGTGACTGTGTTGTGGCTCAAGGTAAAAGTAAAGGGTTTGAATGGTTTGGAGTTATAAGACTAATGTGGGTGGGAGGGTGGTGATGGATGTATAGGCTGTTCACATTTAGTGTGTGTAGCTTTTCTCATTTCATGAACTCAGAAGTCAACAACCTCAGAGAGTACAGCATAGATGAAAAGCCTAAAGCAAATTAGGGCACTGACATTTGATGAGGGCCCTGATTTGTATTGAGTGGATTTTTTTTCTTTGGCACTGGCATAAAAACACTAAACTGTATGTATAACAGGACTTCTGTAGAACAAGAGAGGCCAAAGTGCAATGCTTGTTAAGGGCCTAGGGCCAAAATGACAAGACAACATACAAATAAAAAAGAAAAGTAGGTTTCAGATTGCCAGTGACATCAGGATATGCCTGTACTAGGGGGTCTGGGTGCATGATCCCTCAGGAGGATGTTTTAAACGGCCCCAAAAAGTCTAGTTGTGGCAGCTTTTAGAGTAGCAACAGACAAAGAAATGATCATGGCTATTTGGCACATTGGCACACGATAGATCTGTTTTTTGTAATTTGTATTAAGCACAGAGCTAGTATGACTTATACACTTATACTGTATCCATCCTCTTACAACAGGCACAGATCAAGCAGAGGTACTGAAATCAAGCAGTACCTCTGTCTCCTCTCTTAGATAAGCTACAAGCTCCTAAACATATTATTCAAGTACACAGATTATAGATCAGTTCAGTCTTGGCTGGTGTGATCTGAAAGAGTGTGTTTTTGTTCTGTAGGTGTGTTTAATAAGCTGAGTGACAGAACTCTATGGTCATGCTGACAAATATTTTTTCAGTTAAGTTCCATTAAATTCAGTATTAATTTTAATTAAAAGCTTATATAACTCTCCCTTCCTTTCTTCTTGATCACTAACCTCAATCAGATCTGCTCTTTCAGCCCTGTGTATGTCCTTCAGCATCTTTCTCTTCCTCTCCTCGCCTGTGTTTAGTCATACATTGTTTTATTAAACTCTGATTTAAAAGAACTTAAAGAAATAATGTGAGACCAGTCAATTAAATTCTGTTTTTGTTTTAACTGGTAAAAATCTTCTCGTCTCACTGACCTTCGACGGATCTGCTGCTTCTTGATTTCCATCTACAAATTGAGGTATTGATGGATATAAAATTACGGTGTGATTAACACTATATGACCTTTTCACTGACATTAACTTACTGTAAACAAGAATATATGCCACATACTGGTATCATTGGTTCCAAATATTGAAGAGAAATATTAAAGCAAAGAATATAAGGAGCTGTAAATTAAGTTATTTCTATCTCTCCCTTGTTCACACTCTCACATGCACACTGTAATGTTAAAATAGTTGATAAATCATGATCATATTTGGTCATTTACAGTTGACCACACTGTAAAGCACTGTTAACTAAAACTAATGAATTTAAGACTCTACCCCACATTACCCCAAACTTCTAACCAGGTAACTCAAATCATTCAATGAGGAATTGCTTTGTTTGTGCAAACATAATTACAGGACTGTAACCCTTAATCCACAGATGGAGGGCAGCATGGCCACATCCCTCCCCACCATCCACACCCCTGTTCTCTGTCACGGAGTTTTTCTCTTGAAGGATGTAGTTTCTCCAGCTGTTGTAGTTCATGCTTGATTTCCTCATATCACAAATCATATAAATCTGTGTGACCTCTGACACATGGGATTACTCCAGATTGCAATTATGCACCAGCATATGTGACCTTTAGGATTACACAGGATTGATAACTTTGAGCTAAGAGGATCTGAGATTGTATGAATATTCTGTGAATACCCATATGCCCCACAATCGTGTGGTCCATCAGCTACTACAGAAAAATAAGGATGGAGCTCCTGTACTTTCCATTCTTGGCTTAGCCGGACAAAATGAGCCTCTGTCAGAAGCCTGCCATTCTATTGGCACCCATGTTCCTGCATCATTCACACGATCACTTAACCAACAGCTGTCATTGCGCTTTACATCTTCCTTCCCCTCTGTTTGGCACAAACTGCGACAGAAACCAACAGTAGAGCTGTTTCACATCCATTCGTTTTGGTTTGTTTTGGGTGCTGCTCTTCTTGATCCTCTTTTTAGTTACCATAGTGATGCCCATTGCTGTGCCTGCGAGTGTGGGATCCTCATGCCCTTTGCTATTATGTAACCATCAGGATCTCCGGGTACACTGTGCCCAAATCTGGCCAGCTTTGGCACCCACTGTGGCAGAGTGGCATTTCAATAGGCATGAAAGTGAAGGTGTTTCCATGGTGATGGCCCAGCTCCTTTTGTTCCTCTATACAATGGCGGGTATGCAGTTTCAGGCATCATTTACTGATATTAGACCATCTTTTCTTAAAGGGCAGATAATGTAAAAGGAAAGAGCAGAGGTTACTGGAAAAGCCCTGCTGAAGTTCTTCGCTTCCCTTTTATCTGGTAAGAATATCAGTTAACCAGTCACACCTTTAGCTTTGAGCAGTAAGCACAACCTCTAATGCTGACCTATAGATTTCCATGTGTCTTTTACCATACAGTGACCTAACAGGGTGAAAAGTCAAACTTTGTCATTCCTTTTCATCACAGCTGTGTGTTGATAGAGGAACAAGATACAGTTTGAAAATGTCCAGTTAAAAAATGCCCAGTTAACAGTAGCTCTTCCAGTAATTTTCAGTTAGGCTTTACACTTTGTTTTACGAAACAAAGAGTGTGCCATTTGAATTTGTAAACGAATACTGTTTTGAAAGTGTTCCCAACAAGAAAAATATGTATGTTGTTAATAAACAGAGGCAGAAAAGCTCCAATAAAACACCAACCTAAAATAAAGCAGAAGGATTCTCACTTTTTATTGATTTTGCCGTAGAATTATGAAAATTCTGTTTCACTGTTTAATGTACAAACATTTGCTGTTTAGTACTTTTGAGATTTTATGTTAGTGCCAAACTGCTGGTCCACTTTTACTTTCACAGACTAGGTTGGACTTAAACTCAGACATTTGAAGCTTGTAGGAAATTCACTTAATGTATTCTTTACTCTGTATGTTGCAGTTTCACAGATTATTGCTGCTCCTGCTATAGAGCGAGTTGTTTCCTTTCATGCAGGCCCCTTAAGTATGTGCGTGTCGGCTATGAGCTTTAGTCTTTGTGGTGTGTTCAACTGCACATTTTCACATGAGACGAGAGGCTGACGGAAGACGATCATCAGTCAGCCTTAGCTGGCACCTCGTCATCTTGGTGTGTCTGGAAAGGGTCACTGCAAATTATTAGAAGTTATTTTGATTGATCACCTTCATCCTGTGTCTTTATCTATGATGAAACATTTCTGTCTCGATGGGAGTGTTATCCTCCAGGACACTAATGTCCTCCTGCAAGGGCACAAGTGGTAGCTGAATGATTTGAATGTATGCCAAGGGGTATTGAAGCTGTAGGAGAGTTTAAAATGCTGTCGCTGTCCAAAGAAAAAAAAAGTACCTCTTCTGGCAACAGAAGAAAGCTTTACTTTTATCATTAAAGTGAATGTAATGAGATTTTATTCCAAGTGATTTTGGAGCATTTCTATTGGCCCATTCATAATCACATTTTCACACAATATAAAGGACAGCTGCTATAATGTAGAGAAAATAAGAATCGATGAAATTGGAGGAATGCTTGGTTTCTTATGCGTAATCAGGGTATAGCTAGCATGTTCTTCAGTAGAGGAATCTTTGAAAGACTAAATATTATGTTATTGCTCAGTTAAGCTGATCAACCTTAAAAAGGTAATACAGATTACATAATTGTCAAAATAGTCAGCAGATTATTTGATTACTAATAGAATCAGCAATGACATCCTTACATAGAACAGCAGCAGACAAAAGGACAAGGTGACAACAGTGTAACTGTCAATTATTAAAAACAAACGTACAGTTCTTGGTAGCGATGCCTATTTGCATATGCAACTAAGCAATTATAGCTGCTCTATATTTTCTAGCAATACCCACCTGTTTCAGTGTATTTATAATACACGCTCTAATGGCGTTAGCTTTTCCCCATATACACATTTAATCTGATGTGCTAATTGAGCTGCAGCTCTCCAAAGCTCATTATTCCTGCCCACAGAATCCATTCTCTCCAAGCGTTTCCCATGGCCAGTGCCAACTTAGTGGCCCATCTTGAATGTAAAAGCACTCAAGGACAAGCAGGAGAGCCAGGAACATCATGGCACAGCCAAGAGTAGACATGGGAATACTCCCAATGAGGAAACGCATGCACACATACACAAAGAGAAAGAGGAACAGAGAAAGAAACACTAACAACTGTAGAGTTCTGTGAAACGGATTCATTGATCAGCAGTGTAGTTCAGTAAAGTGTTCATGCAGTTGTCTGTGATTTGTAGTCACTTTGAGAGCTGGTTGTACATCATCTCTTAAACACGAGCATCAGTTACACAGTCTGTGTTATTTTGTTGCTGTTCAGTCTTCTTCTGCCACCTAGTGGGCAAAGACAACATTGGGTAATTTTGTATAGCATTGTTCTGTGCTGGGGTATTCAATGATGAATAGACCAATAGAAATGCTGCAAAATGACATTGAATAAAATCTCTTTACATTATCTTACACTACACTTATAAAGTTACTGTTTCGGCGATACACTTTTTATTTATGTCTAATTAATCTGATTTTCATCATTTGGTGTACACCACAAATATTCTGTATTCTGACAGTACTACGGTTAAAGCAAACTAAAGTGGCCCGTCTTTCCTATGTGTGTGTTTCTGTCATGAGGAACTGCAGCTGATGCTCTTCATTCACTTGCTTTCCCAAATATTTGCAGTATGCGAACACTAGAGGACACTGTTTTCATCTTTATCCCACATTAAGGGTAAACACTGTGTGTGATCACCTCAGTCCTCTGGACATCAGCAACAGTACCTGAATAAAGCATTTCTGAAGAAGTGCTCTTTGGTAGAGAATGTACAGATGGGCATTGCTCAGTCGGCAGTGGGTTTCAGGTAGAGAGTGGTGGCGGTGGGTAACACTGGTGGTATGTCGTGCAGGATATTTTGGGTCCAAGAAAACACCCTCGTGATGTATGTGTGTATTTGTGCGCCTCTGTCTTTCCTCTGTGTGTCTGCATCATTAGCTGCTCGATTGAGCTGCCTCTCAAGGCTCGGTGTGCTGTAGCCACATTTATCACAAAGTGTTTAGACACTCCCTTGAAGTGCAAAATGAAGCTCAACTTCCACTAACTCACCCATTTATCATCTCTCCTTTGCCTTTTCCTGTCTCTTTTGAAGGTAAAAAACAGTGAAAGTCTGTCTCAACTTTAAAGAAATACTTACTAATTTACTCAGTTTTCCCTCTTACTACAAATGGAGCTGATCAGTCACGACATGGTTAGTGTCTGAAGTTCACTTCTTCAGTTTTTCATGAATAAGCACTTTTTAAGCACTATTACCACCACTGCTTTATTTCTAGTCCGTTTTTGTTAGTTGCTCTTATTTTATCGAGTTATTTTATTTGGCTAGTTTGCATTTTCTTTAGTTTTTTGTGGAAGGCAGCAGTGAGGGTGGCACATGGGCCGATTTGAGCTCAAGCATAGCAAAGCTATTATTCTTCAAACTTACTTCCATGGTTAACCGACCTCTTATCAGGTTTTACTCTGAGAACTTTATGTGAGAATTTCCTGAGGCATCTTACTTTTATCTTCAGTGGCCACCTGAAATGTGGTGCTCAATTGCTGCTGTAACCAGTAGTGACTTCACTCATCATTTTAGTTATCATTAACTAAACTACAAGAATTGTAGTTCAGCAGAGAAAATAAAATATTTAAAAACATAAATAAACAAATAAAAGGATTTAAAACAGGAGTGGCCAATCCTGGTCTTGGAGATCTGCCACCCTGCAGCGTTTCACTCCACCCTTAATCTAACACGCCTGATCCAGGTAATGAAGACGTTCAGGAGCTTCTGAATTTGTCGGAATGTTACAATATTATCTGAGACTAGTGTTTTGGATCTGAACTCTCCACGGTAGTAGATCTCCAGAACCATGATTGACCCCTGATTTAAAATGACAGTGATTGTAGGGAATATAAAATTGCTAACTGAGGATGATTTATGTTTTGTTGCACAGTTTTGTTTCACAGTTTTGAAGCATACAAGCTAAAAGCAACATCACCTTCTTTTGTGTTTTCTTAGGACAGAGAGTTATGCTCTGTTTGATGATCTCGGATGTTGTGGAGCACGTTCAGTTATACATTTGGGCAAAAGTGTATCAGCTGTAATTGGTATGTTTTTATTGAGCAAACCAGCGAACAGTGCATTGTAATAGTTCAAACAAGAGAAAACAGTAGCATGAGTGAACTTCTAGTACAGGAGTTATGAATGTTTGTTTTTGGGGGGATGTGTGGTTGTCAGTTCACCCTGTGCTCATTTAGAGCTGATTCTGTTCTCTCTCAAGCAAGACGTTGAATAATTTGAATGGCAATATGAGAAACTACCACAGAAACGGCACACACAGTGTGAAAACATTTGACTGAGAAGTGTTGAGAATGAAAAGGTTTCTCTAAATATCTGCTTCTTCCATCACAGGGCTGATGTACTGTGACCAAAAAGTACATTCCAGAAATCTATTCCTCACATAATTTCCCCCCTTACCCTTTATATCATACCCATAATGCATTACTTCTCACTCTACATAACACATTGGTTCTTCTCGTATTCACCAAACTCAGATTCGTCCATCAAACTGCCAGGTGGATTTCTTCTGTTCAGTGCAAAAAAAATGATCAACTTCATTGCTGCAAAGGGGGCATCATACAACAGTGCTTCACTGAAAGACGTGGGGCGCTTCAGTGCGGCCCACTGAGCCGGTGTTTGTGGAGATTTCATGCATGTAGGTTTGATTTTATTCACCTGTTGTCACTCAAACTGCTGATCCCACTTGCTTGAAGCAGAGTCCACCCTGTACTGAGGCATTTTAACATTTGTCCTGATGTAAGTCAAGTAAATGATTTACTGTTTTGATTCTGTTCTTCTAGATTCCCATGATGCTGTTCTGAGGTTTAATTCCGCTCCTACTGAAGGTTATGAAAGAGATGTTGGGAATAAGACCACCATACGCATCATCAACTCTCAGGTTAGATTGTGCTCATATGAGTCTGGTTTATGAATGTGTGCTATTGTGTCTTATGATTTCACTTTTCTGCTCCTTAGTATTAAACTCAAACAGGGACACGGCAAGTTGTTTTCAGTTGGGGGTGCTGAAATTTTAAGCAGCATAGATGACGTGAACGTTGATGTCATGCTAAATTCATAGCATAATTATTACCTCTGCTCTCATTCTGGACGAACGTTATGCAAATGAACAAAGTGGCAACCAAAGTGGCAAGCAGAGACTGTAGATATGTGATGCAGTAACTGATTGTGTCTGCCCGCAGTCTCACAGTGTGATTTAACACTGGAAAGCACACTGTGGGAACTGGTCAATATCTCTGCATACACTTTTCTCTCTTTGACCCTCAGCCTGGTGTGTTTTAGCCCCCAAAGCTGCCAGCTGTTGTCGAGGGAAGAGAGTGGACTCGCTGTTATGAAAACACAGCGTTAACTTAAGCGGTGCACGACTACTGGAGATTTTAAAAATATATAAATAAGAATAGAAAAAGACACACTTTTCTCAAGAAAGCACAGACGAGTCTTCGCTATGCTGAAATTATTAAAAAGTTCAGATCTCTGTATTATTATTGCTTTCAGCAGTTGCAGTCCTGAAGTCAGGGTGTGCTGGAGCTCCCTCAGCACCCCCCCTTCCCACATCCCTAAACGCAGATGTTTTCGTGAGTTTTCATTTTGGGATTTGTCCTTCTGTTGTGATTACATGTATGCTGTGCGTCTTCTCTCTGCTCTGTAGATCCTGGCTAACCCCAGTTACCATTTCAACACCAGCTCCCTGTATAAGAACATGACTTTGGTGGCTTGGGACCCTGCCCCTTATACCGTGAACCTGCATAAAGTAAGTACTCATCCCACTTTGTTCTCTAAATGCAGGGATTCTTTTCAACCATGAAGGAAGACATTGTTCAAGACTTTAGTAAAGCAGTCGACTCCATCACAAACAAATGTGCTTTACATTTTATGCCATTAATATCAGCTTACAGTGAGGTCTCTACACAAGTCTCTAAACACTACACTGTCGGAAAGAATTGCTTAGAGATTGTTTTGCAAAGATCACTGATTGAAGGCAAAATCAGAAATGCATACTGACAGTCTATAGTGTTTATCAGGATTTTGAAGGTCTTCTAGATGAAGTTGAAGACAGTCACAGATTACTTTGTAATACTTTAAACATACATAGTTTTTTAAAATTATTTTAAAGCCGCTTCCCATACTTTTTCATAGTTGTTCACAGATCATCCGTAGTGGCTAGATTTTTCTTCTGTACACATTTCTCCACAAGATCTCAATGAGCTTTAAATCATGCCTGAATTTCACTTAATGAACTGTAGGGCATCTTGCATTGTAAGGTTGGATACTCTGTCATTTGTTGTAGCTTTGAAGAGAACAGACAGGTTTCACATCAGAAACAACTTCTAAGCATTAATGCGGTACATGCATGTGAGCCGTTCTTTTTGACTGACTCTAAGTGTTGATTTTTAGGGATGCACAGTGATATCTGCAATTATTTGTATACATATTTATCAATATTAAACAAATATTTAAACTTAAGCATCATCAAATATTTGTTTTGAATATCGGCCCTGTTGTACTCTGGAAGAGAAGAACATTTAAGCCATGGTGGGCTACTGTGGTAAGATGTCTGTGCCTTATAGAAACTTCTGTAACCCTACAGAAAAAATGGTACCAAGTCAGGTGAAATTCACAGTAGAATTTTCATGATAAAATTTGACTTTTGAATATTTGTCAAATCCAGTGGAGGAATGCACCCAAATTAGAATGTTTATAGCTACCACTGTTGCGGTTCCTAGGGCCAGTTAGTTAACTACCACTGTTAACTTAACTACCAGACAAAGAAAAGAACATGCCATTGGTGACCATAATCAAACAGTTTATTTTGGCCTTAATTAGAATTGTCTGTGGATTTTGCAAACCATGGAGATATATATGAAAATGAAGCTCAGTCACTCTGAATGAGGCAATGTATTTATTTCATAAACTGAATAGTGCTGACAGGCAAACATACAGGGTAGTCGCTGTGTGAGGTAATCGAATGATCTGCTTCAGACAGCAGACTTTTCTGACAAGCCAACACTCTGGATGTGGGCGCTTTGTAGCACTGAGCAATTATATTAAAATGTGGAAGGTAGTGAAGTAAGCTGCTAGCTTAGCTGTATGGCTAAGAGCTGCTATACAGCTACTGCAGTCAATTGCAGCAATTAGACTTAGATTTTTACTAGAGCTTGCACAGCATGATGTTAAGGGAGAACATTTCATTAGCTTTCATGAATATATTGTAGAGCCAGCATAATGGGAAGCACTATTGGCTGTGTGCTCATGCTTTCAGCTCATGCTTTCAGCACATGAATCACAGGTTTAATCACTGTGCTTTTGGGGTCACTTGGCAGTTTATGCTGAGCACCCCATGTGGATTTAGGAGTAATAACATTTGAAACATGACATTTACCACAGTTATGTATCTTTCACCTTTTTTTTTTTTTTGAAGATATATTTAAAATTAAAATATATTAATTGTTAGTTGTTGGCTTACTTGAAGCATGTGTATAACAATAAGATAATCCTTTATTAGTCCCACTATGGGGGAAATTCACAGTGCTATAGCAGCAAAGGGATAGCAAGACACCCAAGAAAAAGAGTAACAAGAAGAGAATTAACTAATATTCGTTACTACTAATATTCCTATTTCACCTCCTTGAGAACCTCGTAATTCTGAGGACCCGGTGACATTTGAGGGAAAAATGTGCACAGGACAAAGCGCATCAGCTTTGGAACAGTCCTGTTTCCTGCATGGTTTGATGCAGGATTAACATTTTCAGAAAAACATTGATTTTTCCTGTAGAGAAGAATATAAAGATGACCAACTTGGATCTAAAGTCTTATTTGGGCATCATTTGTATGAGAGAAACATGGCAGAAGTCCATTGTCTGGACTGTGGTGTTCCATCAACTCTGGGCAGAGCTGCTATTTGTACATTCAGACAGATGATGGAGACAGCACTCATTACTTATGGATAGAAATTGTGGTTGTCATTTTGATAAGTTTAGTATGCATATTTGTTGAATGCAAGATATACCAAGTGTTGAAGCTGTTCTTCAGTTTACCAATTCATGTTAATGTTAAATTTTTACTCTTACTCCAATTTAGCAGCACAGCTTGCTGCAGCCTGAGGCTTGTTCATATTGTACATTACAGCAGTACATATTTAATCAGCATTGTTCCTGTAAGTGCTTAGCTTGAGAAGAGCCAGCGTGATGTTAAGGGGGTACATTTCATTAGCTCTCATGAATATATCTCATAGCCAGCACAATGGGAAGCACTGTTAGCGGTGTCAGAGTTCCTCTCTTCTGGAGCCTGAGAGCACAAATAGTCTTGTCGGACAGTAAAGGGCCCATATTCTACATTTTCTTGTATTGTATTTTTTTATTTTGGAGGTCCACTTACGGTGTTTGTGTGAGCTTATGTACCAAAATAGTCAAACACTGCATTCAAATTATGAGGATGCCGTGGCACATATGTGAATTTTTTTTTTCCCTTAATGTGGTGCAGATCTGATGTTTTCAGAGCTGTGTGGACACACAGATGATGTTTTTCAAATCAGATCTGAGCCACTGACTACGTTCACATTATCAGGCTGAAGTAGGACAAATCTGTTTTTCTTTGCCTTACTGTGACACATGTCTTTGCCTTACTGTGACACTCTTTTTCTGTGGTCCTGGATCGCAAACATACATTTGTTGACTCATTGTTACCACTGCACCATTAAGCCTGATGTATGTAAATGGGCTCTGTTCTGATTGGCTGCTCTCTATAATGCCTTATTTATAAAGCAGTCTGAGCTGAAACACTACTTATAACTTCAGTGTGGTATATATTATACATTTTTTTCTTTTAAACTGATGTAAGAACAGTAAAGCTGACCCCAGATCAACTTATAAGCAGGACATCTTCGAAGACTCAACATGATACAGAAGTAAAATTCTTGGGCTTGGAGTGGGAAAACAAAACATTCACATTTTATGTGCACTGCTTTGAAATGATTTCATTGAAAGAAGAAGCAAGTGAAAGATTGTGGCTGAGCTTCTGCCTTTGTAGTGGTAACTCATCATTTCAAGGTATTCAGGCACAGAAAAAGAGCTGCAGACTTTTTGCTATGATAATGGCTTGGCAAAAAAAGTGTTCTGTAAGCTTTTGAGTGGGTGTGTGAAAAGATGGCCTTCTATGACCCTGTGCTTTTGCTTTTTGCAGAGTGAAAGAGGCAGTTCATTCGAAGATGTTCAGTATGTTCGAGTGATACATTTTCCAAAAAGATGAAAAATGCGTGCATGTAGATGTGCGCGGTATTTGTTAGAAAGTGCTTGCTAAAGGATATGTTTGTTTGTTTGTTTGTTTTTGTTTGTTTGTGTGTAGTGGTACACAAGCCCTGACTACAACCTGTTTACCCCATACATGGAGCACAGAAAGCAGTTTCCTGCTCAGCCTTTCTACATTCTGCACCCCAAGTTCATCTGGCAGCTATGGGACGTGATCCAGGGCAACACCTTGGAGAACATCCAGCCCAACCCACCTTCTTCAGGGTTCATCGGTATGACACACAAACTCATTCGTTTCTGTCTCTCTCCCTGTTTTTCTCTCTCACACTCTTGGTCTCTCATGCTCTTGCTGTCTTTGTTTCGTGCTCTCTCTCTTTCTAACGGATACATCTAGAAGACATACACTGACCACTTTCCTCAGTGCTCAGCAGAAACTCATCAGTTCAGCTGACATGCTCATATGCGAGTCCATGCAGACCCATTTGTGAAATCACATTTGATTGTTATAGTATAAAGTAAATAAACAGACAGTCAGAGCTTAAAACATTTGTCTGAACCACATAAGATCTGACTACTCATAGCTTACGTTTAATCAGGTTTGTACACCTATTTTCAAATATTAAAATAATAATTTAAAATTATTTGTATAATAATTCACTCCTGCCTTCCCCTCCCCCACACTTTATTCTTCTTCCCAAATTTTATTTCCTTAGTAGCTTTTTATTGAATGTTATTTTATTTTGTTTATTGTGATCCAGTGACTACAGCCACTATTGCTGAGTAACTTAACAAGCAGTGATGTGGAGGTTTATTGTTGGTGTGGTTGGGTTCTCGCTGACTGACTTCAGGCAGAATTTTTATGACTTAGGTCAGATTCAAAACTTGATTCTAATACTATAATACTACGCAAAAGTCATAGGCATTGGAAGACATTCTTAAAAATAAAATCTCAGCAGTAAGTGTGTTTTTGCTTGGTAGAAAGTATTAGAATAAATATGCATAAGCATATAGCAGTTTCATAGTATCAAATATCAAGAATACAACAAAAAATGTCTAGGTTAGAAGAATACAAGTAGAAGAATGCAGGTTTGGTTCCTGACCTCTCTGACCTCTTGCTGACCGCACAATTTAATTTAATATTTGATGGTAACTGTAAATACTGAATTTCCTCGACTAGTTCTAGTCAGGTCAGACTTGATGAGAATTTTGTGAGTCTGTAATTGGATTTGGACACATTCGGGCCTAATTAAAGCTGTAGCTGTACAGTCTTATGCAAAAGTAATTCACAATTTCTGTTTATCTGCTGATTTAAAAAAAAAAAAAATTGATAAAATGCAAAATGGCTCATGCAAAAGTTGTCGTATTTAATTTTTTTCCCGATTTGTTAAACTCAGTAAAAAAATAGAAATCGTGCATGAAAAATTGCAGAAAAATGCCATATGTAAGTTTAATTTGACCAGTGGTGTTTAAACCTTTGCATATGACTCTAGGCTTTTTCGGGAACTCAACTCTTGGAAGTTTTTCTGTGTTTGTCTACAGAAACTAAATGGCCTTTTTCTCTGTAATACTTATCCAGGTAGATCTAGTCTCAGTTTCTACACTTGATAAATGTTTATGTAACAGCATTTCACACAATCCTTCTGTTACAAATACATTTAATTCCTCACCAGCAGCAATAGATGGCGCTTTGGAGCTTCAGGTGATGCGCTCAAGGTGTGCTGGCCAGCTGCCAAGGAAAAAGGCCAACACAAACCCTCCAGCTACAATACAAACAATCACAGACATGCCAACATGTGCTCACCGAATGGAATTAAGCCACGGATCAGATTCTGATCTCCAATCATCTTTTCTTTAGACGTTTAACTGAACGTCATGCTGTTAGAGCAGAAAATGCAAACTCACTGGTGTGTTGAGCTCTAAATAGCTCTGTGATGATCCAGCAGCCAAATCCATTCCATTCTTTTCCTCTACTGAGAACTATGACCTGCTGATAAAATTCAGCCTGCTGGAGTCAGTGCCTCTGTGAGCTGGAGCTTACCACCCTCGCACACAGGCTGTGTCTGAAACTGAAGGTATTTGTCTTGATGCCTTGCTGCCTGTGCTGTCTCAAAAATCAGTGCCTTAGAAGGCAGCGTTGTCATCGGTGTCGGTGCCTTCTGCCTTTTTTGATATCAGTGGATCGGTGCAGATGCAGAGGATTATGGGATGTGTAAGGCATTAAAGGATACATCTACGCTGCCTTCAAAAAATGGCCAAATGGACGAGCCTCAGCAGGCAGCGTTTTAAATAAACATTAGAGTCGGACGTGACTCTGTGCTTTGCTGCCTCAGAATACTGTTTGAGTAGGCAGCGTTTCTTTCAGACAAAGCCATAGATGCAACCTTGCAGCTACTATACATATGGATTCTGTTGCTATGGTAATACCTGAATGGCATTGGAACATTCAGGGTGATTTGCTGAATGTGAGGGTCTTTTTCCTTAGTTTAAAGATATTTATTGGCTGCTCTGAAGAAGGACTGGGTGCTGTAGAATTGGGGATGTGCACACAGACTTGAGTACTCTTAATTGTTTGAGGTGCCACTATTGGAATACTGAAATTACTGAAAATTGAGAAAATATACAGGCGAACAATTCAGAGAAACAGATTTTATTTTTTTGCAGAACTGTAAAACATGAAGCTTTTGCTCATATTTGAGAGTAAGTATATAGTTATATTTTGCTACCTGGAATAAAAGTGCCTTAATGTGAGCACATTGCCAAGGGCACGTTGTCAAAGATGTGAGAAGGCAGAGATAACATGGCTTCTTCATTAACCAGACTATTCTAGCTGATGTTAGGTCCAGAAAAAGACAAGACATCATCACTGTTCAAAAAAAAGAAAAAGAAAAAAACTCTCATTTTATCTGATTTTTATTTTTCTACGTCATTTGAACATGGCAGCTGCGGTTTACACTGTGCGAAAATTTCATGTTAACGGACCAATAAAAATGCTCATTGCATTGAATTAAAATATAAAGAGCGTTTCTATGGAGGGGTAATTGTGCCAAAGCAAAAGCAGTAACTACAGTGAAAAACTCTGAAATGGAGTGTATACATGACATCACCTTTCCATAGTGACATGCAGAATACATGCCAAAATGGAAAAACAAACCCTCTGGTTCATTGTTTTCATATCACTTAAGTAATTTAATAATAATAATAATAATAATAAAGGAGTGGCCTATATCACTAAAAAATTTCACTCGTATTTCAAACTGACACAGTTCAATCAGCATGTATAGCTCCACACACTGCACATTACCTCCTGTAGACACAACCAATGAACACTAATAAACGACACTTGCTGGCTACAACTGTGAGTCATTAGCTGGAGTCTTTACACCTAACTACATGACTTCACACACTTTACACACACACACTCACAAATACACAGACTTTGTTTAGAATATTTGGCACTACAGGTAAGGATGGCATTGTGAGAGCAGCAGGGTGGACAGAAACTGAAGATCACACAAGTTTAAGTAACGTTCGCCCACTCCGGTCCTCATAAAACACTAGACAACCACACCGTCCACAGGGTACATTCACAGCTTTCAAATGCAGAAGAAGGTTCTGCGTGTTTTGTTGTGTTGAAAGTCACGATTTCCTTTGTTATCTGTCATTATATGAGAGCGCTCCTTAATGCAGTGTTATCCTTGGAATAAAAGTCACCTTAATGGAGTCTTCTGGCTCTTACCAGAAAAGCAGAAATTCAGTCATGAAAGGGGGGTGTTTGTAATTGCAGCAGCAACTTTACTTCCACAGATAGAACAAAGGATAAGACAAAAAAGGCAAAGGCAGGTTTTTTAGGAAACTTCTACCAGGGGAAGTCAAGTAATGTAATTTGTAAGAGATTTGATTGGCTGGTTCATACAGGACAAACACCTGTGTAATTTCATCAAATTACCACAGATAGCCTAGATTGAAAAGCGATATCTCTGATACTCATCAGCGTCACACGACAGTAACTCAATAACAATAACAACACTCCACATGTAGTAGTGTGTAGTAGTAAGTTATGTTTTTGCATCACTGTGAGGGCTGCTAGATTAAAAGAGGCTGGACTGCTATTACTGTGCAGTCGATTTGAACAGGACTTCTATCGTTGAGGGAGCTCTGAGTCTGGCAAATTGCAGAAGATCATTCTCTCTGCATATTTATTATCAGACTTGTAAAAAACTATGGACATTGTAGACTTGAACTGGATTAAAATCTCTTACTTTGCAGTGCCTCCCCAGGTAAAGCTAATAATCCAGATTGAGTGGAGCTCTGGACTAGTTTGGGTTACAGACAGACTGGTGTTTGGACAGACGCAGTGTGTGAAACACCTACACTGAGTAAAGGCAGAGGCTGTGGTGGTGGGGTGGGTGGGAGTACACCACTGACACATTTCTGCTGTGACGGAAGGAGGGCTCCCAGGCTTGCTCAGAACAGGAAGAATGCTGTGCACCCAACTTCAGTGGCAGGCCAGCTCTTCCTCTCAAACTTAGCAAGGAACGCATTCACATGTGCACAAGAGAAAAGGAGAGCCTCCTTGTTAGGACGAGACCTCCGGAGTGTTGCTCCTCTCCATGGCCGGGGTGCTGCATCCCAGCTCCTGCGGGCTGGTGGAAATCTGCGCTGTGCAGGCCACCGTGTTGCTGTGCACCATGCGGTTCAGCTGGATGACAGTAGTCTTGGAGGGCATAGATGATGGGCCGTTCTCCATAGACCTCACCTTGCAGTGGAACAGGATCAGGAAACATCTGTAAAACTGCAGGAGGAAAGAGAGGAAAAGGGCTATTAGAAGATAAGAAGGAATAATGAAACGAGGGATTTAGAAGATAAAAAGCATAGAGGCATTACTTCTGTGGCATATCTTGCTGTGAGGGCTTGAGATGAGAGAGGGAGAGAGAGCGAAGCTCTGCAGGTCTCTTGAGTTAGTTGAAAGTTCTCTAATGTTTTTAAGGAGTGCAGGAAAACCCCACCACTAATGACTCAACCACAAAGCCATGCTGGTTGTCAACAAAGTACTCTGGAGACCATTTATACAGATGTTGGAAAATTCACTTGCAGAGATTTGCTTCTGTCCCAGAAAACAGCAACACACTTGGCTTCAGCGCATGGTTATGAAAGTGCGCAGTTTTCAAGGCTACATGAGGTAGATTAATATGTGGCGCACTGTTAGGGTCTCTGAATCTGTTTGCATATGGCGAATAGACCAAAGTATTCTTAGAATGCTTTAGCATCTTAGCATGATAATGCTAGAGATCTCTCAATGTGCAGTATGTCTTTGTGCCATAGTGCGTTAAATCCTCATACCACAGCATCCAAAATGATCTCATGTAATTGAAGGAACACTCCAGGGTTTTTTTTTTATTTATTTTTTTTTAACTTAATCTCCATCTGCTACATTTGCCACTTGGACAAAACAATGATGGATTTCTCTGTATTTGTAAAAGAACAGGAAAACCTGTCATATGGCTTCTATTATAAGTGTGTTTAAGTCGATTGTTTTTCGAAGCAAAAAGATAGCCGAACACAATTTACTGTTGTGCTAATTGAGCACTGCTAAAACAGCAGACCTCATCTGAAAGAACTACAGTGTAGTTTGAGATTTTAGTGAATTGTGTGTGAATAGCGATATCTGAACATCATGAGCATAAAGACATTTTTAGTGCATATGTTTGTAGGCATGAGGGTGTCGATAAGACTATCCCTTTAGTCTGTTTCCTTGATGTATTCAGTTCTTTTCAGTGTATACAGTGTGTAAGAGCTGTGTTTTGGAGTTGTAATAACAGTCCATAGTTTGTACTTTATTAGCCCTTGCCAAATGTCTACTATCACAGCTTTTATCATAAAACACTACTGAAAAAACTAAAGCTGACACTAAATACTGTACAAACTAAAATTAAAAAACTATTTATAAATATGGGCCACTGTGTGCTTGAAGAATATGAAAATATTAAATAGCAAAAACAAAAGTGTCTGATTACTTAATTAATTCTCACTGTAGAGACTAAAAGTTGGAGTATTCTTTAAGCCTCTGTGTGCGTGTTTGTTTCTCAAGTGCAGCATTTAGTTTGATCGCTCTTGTCTTTCAGGCATCCTGCTGATGATGTCCCTGTGTGAAGAGGTCCATGTCTATGAGTACATCCCATCGCTCAGACAGACAGACTTGTGCCATTACCACGAGCGCTACTATGACGCAGCGTGCACTCTGGGCGCTTATCACCCGCTGCTCTACGAGAAGATGCTTGTCCAGCGCATCAATTCCGGCTCAGAGTCTGACCTCAAGAGGAAAGGCAAGGTCACGCTCCCCGGCTTCAGCACCATCCACTGTGATCCCTGAACTAGGACCTCTGCATAGAAGGGTGCAATAATCGTCCTCGTTTAGCAGAGGAAGCCCATGGACCATCTGGGGAAAGCTGGAAGCTGGGTTTGGCCGAGGCCCTGCATGGACCTTACCTGAGGAGACTGAGCACAGTGGTACACAGACGAAACTGTGCTCTAACAGAACAGTTTGTAAAAGTTGCATTTTCTGAGCCTTGTGTGATTAGAGGTCATTGGGTAGCAATAGGGTTCTCCTAGGAAAGGTGTTTTTAGATATCTGGTTGTTTTTGCTGTTGCTAGCCATCATGTGACAACATTTGAAAGTGTTTGTGTCTGTGTAATGGTCTAGTCAAAGGGGGGGATCGGGGGGGGTTATCTATTTGTGTGCTTTAACTGAAATTTTGCCTGCAATGGAGTTTTTTGAGGAACAGTTTAGCAGTCAGCAACACTGAATGTCACCAATCCATTCTAGACACGCGAAACTAACAATGATGAATTTATCTTCTCACTGAAGTATGAAGGCTTTTATTTATTTTCTTTAGTGAATGCACATTTTAAACACACTGTTTTTACCAGTGGTCACTAATAACTTATTAGGTCTCTTGGTTGTACTTAAAAGAGACCTGAATTTCGTTTACTGCTGCATTACAGTTTTCTCAGCTGCTCACGTCTTTGAAAATAACATTGTGCTCTTCCCGGACTGCCGTCTGAGCTGTGTTGTATTTTCTCTTGAGAGTGTTACGTAATCTCTCAAGGCCACTCAAGTTAGAAAACTTTTGACATAAAAACAATTCTTTACTTGTCATTGTGTTGAGTTTATAGCATGAAATGTCCATCGCCATTTCGAGTTATGCTGTCAAGCAGTTGAGAAAACCTTTTCACCCTATTCTGCACTTTAGGAGAACCTTAACTACTCTGTGTTGGAAGCTGTTGGTGTCTTTCAACGTAAGGCTGGATTAGGGTTTGGAGGCCGGTATCCTGCATTCACACCGCTGCCCAACCAACACTGGACTTCAGGCCTTTGGCAATATAATATAAAAGTGACTGATCGATTGTGTATTGTTTAAACCAGCATAGCCTGGTTGTCCTACATGTCTTGCGGTCCTCATGCGCTCCCCATGGAGTCGCACTCAAAAAGCGAATGAAAAGAACAGTTTTCCATGCATTGTATCATGAAGGTTTTTATTTGAACTGACTTGGGGTTTTTACCTTCACATTGTGTTTTATCTTGTATGTAAATATGGTTTGTTTGTGTTTTTTTTAACTGATAGAAAACAAAGGTTTTGAGTTTCAGTATGTGCCACTTATTTGTGAGAGGAAAAGACTTACAAGCTGATATTTGTATGATCTAAAGGAGGCAAACTAAAATCTGTATAGCTATTGTGAGTTGTAATAGCAAAACTGTTCAGATGTATTCACTCAGGTGTTAGACTATGAAATGCGGCATCTCTGTTCGGAGTTGCACCACATGCTTATCTCAAGTCTCTCACAGACTTGGGGCTGTGAATCTCTATGTATGATAAGTATGATATTATGGTGGTTCCTATGGTACAGTTCCTTGTGTTAGACTTAAACAAATGGAAATTGACAGTGTTACATGAAAGAGTAATTCACGTTTTAGTTTTGACTTCAGTAGGAAAAATTTCAAAAAGCAAGCCTCTGTTGTTTTTGGGTAATGGCAGGGTCAGGGCTAACGGTTTACTTGGGTAGGATGAGCAAGCTTTTATTTACTGACTATCACTTTGTGTCTCTCCAGCTCTCTCTGATCATTTTCTATGTCCAACATTCTTACCAGCTCTCAGTATTTCCAGAATGAGTGAGAGCTATAGAGTCTCTACTTACTTCCCCATCAGAGAGCTGTATTAGTGGACAAGAGATAAGACGAAGCTGCTGGTCAGTGAGTAGCAGGCTTTTTCAGTGTTTCTGCAGCAGTGTGCTACGCTCCACTGAGCTCAGTTTCTGAATAACATCTCGCTGAATGTCTTATCCTCATAAGCCTTTAACCTGAAGAGCATAAGCACCATCAGAGCAACAGAATGACTTTTTTTGTTGGTTGTTTTGGGAGTGTCCTGGAGTAATTTACCAGTCCAGATTGTGCTGCCCGAAAGTGTTATAGGTCATTACATGGTAGAAAAAGTATTCAAAATATGCTGATCAATTTCAGTCCTTTTAGGACTTTTTTTTTTTCCCAATCACAAATTGTTGTGCCAGTGTTATTATACGATTAATTTACTTCAGTTCCAAACAAAGAACTAACTGTGTAATTAGTACAATGCAAAGTGGATACAGCATGCAAAGTAGCAGGGTTTCTAATCACTTTGTGGTAAACATAGTTAACCATAAGTCTTGGTTAACAACTAAGCTAAGGTTGGGGGGGGATGTTTAACTTCCTTCTTTAAACGTGTTGAAGTTATCATTTTAGATAACGGTAATATAGTAATGAGTATTGGACAATTTGGTGAGTTTATCAATGCAGTATGTTAGACATGGGCAGAGATTCTGAGCCAAGTGATATTGGTTGTTTTTCTGGGCAAGTGGTAAAGGCCTCTGAGTGTATGGTGCTGGAACTGTGGTGCTGTGCATCTGTGCTGAGTTTCTTTCTCTGTCATGCTCTGTCTCTCAATATCTATCTAGCTATCTGTCTACCTGTCTATCTATCTAGCTATCTATCGAGCTACCTAGAGTGCAATCTTAGTAATTGGACACTGACACATCTTTGTTTTGGGTCTGTGCTCCGGCATTTTTTGATTTGAAAACAAATGACTCTGAGGTTCAGAATGTCCCCTTTAATGGAGGGTACATCCATGTTGCTGTGTATGTTGGACGCAGCTCTTTTTAAAGCAGGGCCTCATTTCAGAGGCCCATACATGATTGAACAATGTTGAATAATGCACAAGAAATTTTGCCAATTTGGCGATTTACATCTTGTAGCAAGTCCTGTAAAATCATACTGCTGTATTTTACTCCTGCTGACATTTTGGCTAGGGTTCTTAATCTGCCGAGCAACCTGAGGGTATTCTTCCCTTTTTTTCCCATTCCAATTTTTCTTTTGTTTTCTTTTCTTTTTTTTTGTCTGCTTTTTTGAGAATTTTCAGCCTTGTGCTGAACTTTTTAATTGGCATTGATGTTGAGAGACATCGACCAGCAGCCTCAGTCATCATTTTATTTCAGATCCAATGTGCTGGAGTACAGAGCTGAAATGCTCTCGCTCTCGCTCTCTCTCTCTCTCTCTCTCTCTCTCTGTCGCTCTTGCTCTCGCTCTCTCTCGCTCTCGCTGTCTCTCTCTGTGCCACACAGCCTTTGAACATTTGACCTGGTAAACATGTTGTATATTTGAAGCCTGATATTTTGACTGTAGAAGGCAGCAATTTTAAGCCAGGAAACTTTCAAAAGCCATGGGATGCTTTTGATGGCATTTCTTTCATTTGTTAATGCAAACTTCATGATTAGACTTGAATTTGGTTTAAAATGAACTTGTGTATTATGTTAACTGTTTTCTAACATGTAAATAAAATACACAAATTAAGGTAGATGTGTCTTGTGTGTCTTAAGTTTTTAAATTGTTTGGAATTACAGAGTCAAGCCCAAAAGATGTCTTGCAAAATTAACACTGTCAAATGGACTATCGTAAATATTTCAACTTCATAAGGAAAATAGAACATTTTATAGAAAACATTGTAGGCCAACTAGTAATAGAGTTCTTTTAGTATACTAGAACATGTTTGCTAATGACATAAATGGAAAAGATGCAGAAAGCCCTGTTTCCCTAAGTTCCAGGGTCTTCTGGTCATTTTTTGATATATTACTTCTGTTATGATAAACTTTAGAGAATGCTGTTTTCTGCGTATATGACTTTTCAATACTGAATAGCTTTTTTTAAGGTATGGTCATAAAAGAGCCACAGTTCCTGTTCAGAGAAGATAAATGTCTTCAATCAAAGAGCTCCATAATTATCTCATCATATCTGTAAATACATTTGTATATATTATTCACATTATACACATATATTACTCGGTGCATTTTGCATTCAGTAGCAAATATGGAAAATGAAAAACAGCAGCAGTGCAGCAGTAAACAATACGTTCAGAAACCAACTTCTTGTACAGGGTCCACAGGCTTGGTCTTCCAGAGAAAGTCTTAATGATTTTAAATGAAAATTAAGCATTAGAGTGCATTTTAAGAAAAAATACGGATAAGAAAAGATAAGGCCAGAAGCTTAACTCATCAGGACCAGAATTGGCTGCTGTAGAATGATTTAGCTAAACAACTCTGCCAATACAAGTCATGTCAAGACATTGTACTGCTTTTCAGGTATTTAGAATAAGCTTTTTAAAATAAGCTATTGCTTACTATACCAAGATCAAAAAGGTCAGTGTTTACATCTTTTGAGGTCCTCCTCAGCAGTCATTATAAATGCATGCTGTTCTAAAAACTCTGTCTATTTATATACTGGCTCTATAAGGCGAGAGGTGTTTGGACCCCTATGATCGCTACTTATTTGTTCATTACGCCCTTGTAATTTGTAGATGATGGCTTAGCTTTCATAGTAGTTAAGAGTGGTTAACAGTCCACAGAAATCAACGTGTTTTACATCTATTTCAGGAAAAAAGGAAGTGGTACCTGATTATCTTGGCTGCAATCAATAATTTATACATAGCAGCCTTTTTGCACCCAAAACTATTGAAGAAATATCTATGTGAAAATGAAACCAACTGCTCAAGAAACTTCTGTTGATTTCATTCATCAGTACCACTAAGACACCAAGTTCCAGTCATTGTCAAGTGAATATCAAGTGGCCAATCAGATTTCTTCTGGAGCCAGTGCCCCTGGGGCCCCACCCCTGGATCTACCCCTGTTTATCAGCGGGTTCTAATGTACAGATGGGTGACAAAGGAAAAACAAAAGTGTCTTAGTAAGGTAGTGGGCTGCCATGAATCACAGAACAACTTAAATTGGCCTGGGCATAGATTATCTCTGGAACTGTATTTGAGAGAAAACACCATTCTTTTAAAAGGTATTCACTCGATTGAAGTTTTGATGATAGTAGTAGAGAGCAAAATCTCCAAAAAGTGCTCAATTGGTTTGATTTTTGGTGACTACAAAGATCATAGCATATGATCATTCATCAAACCTTTCGTTGACCCTCAAACCTTGTGGATGGAGTTGTTGTCATCCTGGAAGAGATTCCCATCAGGATAGAAATACAACCCCATTTCCAAAAAAGTTGGGGCGTTGTGCAATTACTGTAGTTTTGAAAGTGAAATGTTTTCCTGTACTTGTTTGATATAGGATTTCAGCTGCTAAACCGTTTGGGTTCTCTTTTGTCATGTTTTTCATTTCATAATGCACCAAATGTTTTCAGTGATTGAAAGGTCTGGACTGCAGGCAGGCCAGTTTAGTGCCCGGACACTTTTAATACAGAGCAATGCTGTTGTAATACATGCAGAATGTTGTTTGGCATTGTCTTGCTGTAATAAGCAAGGCCTTCCCTGAAAAAGACGTCATCTGGATGGCAGCATATGTTGCCAAAACCTGTATATATTATTCAGCATTGATGGCACCTTCACAGATGTGCACATCACCCATGCCATGTGCACTAATACACCCCTATACCATCATGAATACTGGCTTTTGAACTGTGCACTGATAACAAGCTGAGTGGTCTTTAGCCCGGAGGACACAGTGTCCATGATTTCCAAAAAGAATTTCAAATGTCGATTTGTTGGATCACAGGACACTTTTCCACTTCCTCTCAGTCCATTTTAAATGAGCTCAGGCCCAGAGAAGGTGGCAGCATTCCTGGATCCTGTTTATATATGGTTTCTTCTGTGTTTTTGAGTTTTAACTAACATTTGTGGATGCAGCGACAAACTGTTTTCACAGACAGTGTTTTTCACAAGTGTTCCTGAGCCCATTCAGTGATTTCCACTAGAGAATGATGTGTGCTTTTAATGCAGTGCTGCCTGAGGGCCCAAATATCATGGCCAGCAAATACTGGTTTTTGCCCTTGTCCCTTGCATGCAGAGATTTATTCAGATTCTCTGAATCTTTTTCTGTTATTATGTTCCATAGATAATGAAACATAAAAGTTCTTTGCTATTTTATGTTGCCAAACATTATTCTTCAATTGTTGCACTATTTTCTCACACAGTCTTTCACAGAGTGGTGAACACCTCCTCATCTTTACTTCTGAAAGCCTCAGCCACTGTGAGATGCTTTTTTTATACCCAATCTTGTTACTCACCTGTTGCAAATCAACCACCAGGTGTTTTTTTTTTAGCATTACACAACTTTACCAGCCTTTTATTGCCCCATCCCAACTTTTTTGGAACATGTTATTGGCATCAAATTCAAAATGGGCATATATTTTTTTCAGTTTCAACATTTGATATATTGTCTTTGTACTATTTTCAATTAAATATAGGGTTTATCTTTAAGCTAATCTGCACATCATTGCATTTTGTTTTATTTACACTTTGCACAGCGTTCCATCTTTTTTGGAAATGGGGTTGTATTTATTTCATCATAGAATAAATGTGATCAGGCAGAATAAGTGGACTCAAACCATACTAGCAGAATGCTCCTACAGTATAACAAAGCCTCCGCACCTCCTCACCATAGGGATCAAGAATTCGGGCCAGCACTTTGCTCTTGGTGTACTCTGCACATGCACTTGCCCACAAGATGAGAATATGGTGAAGGGTGACTCATCTGAAAAGATCACTTTTTTCACTTCTCTGTAGATCAGTGTCTACGATTTTCACGACTGAACTGTCAAATGAGCATTCATCTTTGTAATGTGGGGTTTATGCCCTGCAGCCCTACAATAACATCCCACTCTGAGTAGTTGTGGATGGACTGTTCTTGCTGACACAGCACGCACTGATATTCTCAATCACCTGAGGAACAGTTGTTTTTGTTTTTCGTTACATATTGCATAATGCGCGAGTATCACTCTCATTAAAAGTGTGCTTTCAACCACACGTTCCAGGTCTATTTACATTTGATGTCACTTTAGTAACTTTTCCTATTGAAACTAGCCAGCTGAACAGTTGTTGTGACTGAGGGTCCTGTCATTCATGGCCCAATAATGAACCCTCTATATTCTTACCTGTTTATTCATTAGGATGTATATAACCGGGTTGATGACAGTGCTGGTCTTGGCTAGAAGAGAGGGCACCACACTCGCAACAGGTGTAATGATCCCTGGCTGACCAAAGGTGGCCATTATGGCCACCACGCTGTATGGTGTCCAGCACAGCAGGTAACACACCACTGTAGTGATCACCATAAACAACACATGGAACTCCCTCCGCCGAGCTGCAGACTTATGAATCTTCCCTACCTGTAAAAAAAAAAAGAGAGAGAATTAGGATGAATGTTTAGTTTAAGTGCTTTCTAGAAATGCTTTGTGGCAGAACTAACATCTGGAATGTGTTGGCATATGTGCTTGTTTGATACTTAAACATCTTTCTAACTCTGAGAGCTTTTCGACCTGCAAATCAATTTCACTTCAAGGTCCAGCATATAATAATATATTATCCATTTGTTTCTCTTGCTTGTATAGCACACATGGTCCACTCCTAGAAATAAAGATTTCAAAATTGTCCTTGGCTTAAAGAGTACAGTTCTAGGAATCCTTAAATGTTTTGTCACATGGAAAACAGAATTTCTCTCACTTTTTTGAAACAAAGGAGTTTTGAGTAATAGGTAAACATTGTTAAAGTTTCAAAATGTACCATTCACTGCCCAGTCCATACTGTCCATTTATGGAAACTATGCTGCAAAAACAGCCTGTTTGGAATTCATTGTGTCTGTGATGTCATGAGAACCAACTCATTTACTTATATCCACCTATTCCGCTCATTTATCCTATATCAGTCCTAAAGGCACAGTAACAAAAACAGCGTGTTTAATTCTAAGGAATAAAGAGAAGTTAAAAAAGGCTCATGTAAATAAATTACTACTATTCTTAGTAGATAGAACCACACAAGTGAACCCAAAATAAAAAAATGTATAATATGGGCCCTTTAATTGGTAAAGAACCTTTATGTGGAGGGTCTTTAAACTTTAAAAAGGTTCGCACATATAATTCATAAAACTGGTCCTTTAATAAATCATCCACTGAAAGATTCTTCAGGGAGACCTTTATTTTTCAGGGTGAAAAGAGGACATGGTAATGTCATTCAGGCTGAACTGCCTGTAGAGCGGGCAAAAGCCTGTCCTGTTGACCTTGCAGTGAAGACACAGGCAGCATTGTGTCATTCTTTCCCTGTGACGTATGTAAGGCCATGACAAACTGTGCAGGCATCACCCTGGAGTCTGGTTCTAAAACAAGCGTTGTTCTGGTCATATCTAGAGGTCACTGTCTCACCAGCTATTAATGGTAATACAATAATACATGAATACACAATCAGCCTATCTATTCCATTCAGTCATAGGCAGAGCACAAACTTCTACCTGATCTATCAGTCTTTGTCTTGAAAGGCTCAGAGACAGAGCAAAAGATGCCAGGAGGAGAAAACAAAGGGGAGTAAAAGAACCAGTCAGCAAACCGTGAAGGACACAGATGTGAGAACAAGTGTAGTTCATTTTTTCTTGTCGTACTGCAAAGGGAACAAAGTGAGGTGGGCCCACTTTGATGTTCAATAAAGCATCATGCACCTCACTGTTTGTTCTGCACAAAGATTCCTACCACTTACACACTAATATGTGTAAATATAGGCATGTGCAGAGTGTTCAGCACTGGAAACTCTGGTGAACTCATCAACTCCTCGGCATCGTCATCAAAATAAGCCAGACATGAACAGGGCTTGTTTCAATTATTTCTTACATTCAGTGTCCAGCAGATCATAGAATCACGGAACTCTTTTGATGAACAATTCCTTTAGATACTACTCAATATCCTTCTTTATGAGAGAAAATGGTCCTCTGAGCCACAGTTCACTCAGTTCATTCCTACAACATCAATACTTCAAAAGCTAGAGCGCCTTTAAGTTTTAGCTAAAAGCAAGTGAACTTAATTATTCTAGCCTGAGACAGAGATCCAGGTATTGATGTTCATCGCTAGGTCACATTCTAAGACATCGGTTCCCACTGCTGTGTAGGAAAGAAATCCATATAGATGGAAAACCCAAAGGACCTGACCTTAATATTACTAGCAAAGCTATAATTAAATCAATATCATAATATCCCAGTTGAAGCTTTCTACTGGTCAATCCTAACAGCACAGTAATCAGGCATGAATAATCTATCCATCTGTCTAGTATTTATTAGTACTGTGCATGGGCGTTGCTAGGCCAATTTTAGGGGGGCTTTAGCCTAAATGATATGTAACCTCCCTTCCTAAGTAAATGTACATTACTAGTCCAATTCACACACACACAAACACACATCATCTAAACCTATTATCCTTCTGGGTTGTGGGGTGTTGCTGGAGCCTAGCCAAACTGTCACTGGGCGTAAGGCAGGATACACCCTGGACAGGTCGCCAGTCCATCGCAGTAGTCCAAATCATATATAGTTTATTCTCATTCACAATATACTGTAATAGCAGGGTGCGACCCGGGGGAGGCTCTGCTGCACTACCAGGGATTGACTAACGTAATGTTCGGCCAATCATATCAGGGCTCATACTTTGTAAGCCAATCATATCAGACCTGCGGCAGGGGCTCTGTTTATGCACTGCAAAGTAATCGGTAGCCAAGCTGAAGATAGGATATTGGCTAAAAGCTCATTAAAATAAATATTAGACCTAAAATCTATAATATACAGAGTGAAACAGTGTGGAACAGAGTGAATGTATCCACCTACAATATGGATTTGTGGCAAATTATTGTCAGTATAGCTGGATATCTGTTTTTTTTTTACTTGGTTACTTAACTCTAGCTAGGTTAGCTAACTTTAGTGAAGTTTGGGTTTAAGTGAGGTAAAGAAAAGTGGCTAGACTAACACTAACATTAGCTTGCTAGCTGACAAGCCAACCAGTTTAACCTTTAGAGTTCCTGGTTTAACCTCACTTCATAGTGAGTGTGAGAGTGAATGAACAAGAGGGATATTGACAGCTTTTTATATTCTTCGTTTTTAGATTTCTCTTCAGTATTTAGAAACAGTGACACCAGTATTTGCCATGTATTTGCCTTGTTTGCCAGATTCTTGCAACTGCTGCAGCATTTAAGGTGGAAAATGCAAACAAGAAGCTGACTCCACTTCAGCTTTGTGTGAAAAGGTCATTATACTACAGTTTTACATCCCTCAATTCCTCAACCTGTAGATGGAAATTAAGAGGCAGCAGTAAAAAGCGCTGTGTATGCCTGACTTTATCCTGCTTCATAATCATAGCTACCTGTCCACTGAATTTAGTAAAAAAAAAATCAGTCAGTGATTGAGTGTCCCAGAATTTTACAGGGTTGAGGTGGCAAACCTACCACACTACAGAATAATCAGGCCAATTCTGAGGCTGATTCACTCCTGATGATTGCAAAAGGTGTCCAGATTTCAGGCTGGCCTTAAATAGTGTCAAGATTACCCTATGGTATGGGGTAGTAATGTAGTGCCCAAGTCTGGTCTTTTTACATGTCCACCTTCAGGGGCGGATTTAGTGATTCTGGGGCTTTAGGCAAAATACAGGAAAGGGGACCCCTGGACATTTTTAAATCAGTTTAACAGGCTCTGGGCTCCTGAGTGGCACACCCATCAGCACTGCAAAAAATGCTATCTTGGCAGCTACATAATCTTAAATCTAAGATACTCAAATAAAATTATTTAACTTATTTCTAGTGTAATTATCTCACTGTATTACTTTTCCCACAAAGTATAACATTTTGAGAGTTTAGTAACTGGATTACTTTTGGAGTAATTACCCCAACACTGCAGCTATCTATACTAACATTACCTCTAGCATTATGTACAGTCTGTATGAGCTTTGGGAGTGTAGTGACAAACTTTATGCTTTCCTTACTTCTTGCGCTTCTCTGTACCTGGATCACTTTATTTAATTTTCCTTCTCAACACCCAGAAAATCACACCAAAAAAACACCTCGTTCAATTGCCATGTTCATACCAGTCTGTCTTTATGCAGTTGTGTCATCATGCAACATCATGTAACATGTATTCCATGTAGTGTGTAGTCCATCATGACCACAGGCTGTACTGAATACTGAAAATAGTCAATACAGGCGCAAACAGCTATTTTGAATATATATATGCCTACCTTTGCCTAATGCAAAGACCACCCCTGTCCACCTTACCCTGAGACAGAGAACTGGGAATTTATGGTCTTGAAAAAAAAAAAAACAGTGCATGTGTTTAAAGATTCTCCTGAATTCAAGTAATGTACTGTTTATCTGTAGAGCTGTCAGGAACTAAATACAATGTTCAATCTGTTGTATAGCACTTTGGTCTTCATCTTTTTTGGTCTTCATCTTTTTAAACATGCCTTGCAATTGAACTTGACATAATGATAGCAAAGAGAAACACTTTCTTCTTCTCTGAATTACAACTACAACATGATAGTGACCTCCACTGCCTCGTACTACTAGCAATACTAAATCAGAGGGACCTTGATGTTAGGAACCTTGTGTTTGACTGATTAAGACTATATGAAATAAAAACAAATGTGAAGCAGGCCAGGTCTCACCTGTTTGACAGCACAGAGTAGCCTCCCATAGCTGTAGACCATGACCAGCACTGGCAGGCCCAGACAGAAGATGAAGAGGCAGATGATGTACGCATGAGACTGCGGTGAGCGCTCGGTCCATGACACGGAACAGCTGGTGCCAGCCCCTTCCAGACCATAGCTACTCCAGCCCAGTAGCGGGGGCACTGTCCAGATTAGGGAGTACAGCCACGAGCCTCCCACTGCTAGCAAGGGCTTACGGTAGTTTGGACCCTGCTTGTTATACACCGTCAGTGTGCTGTAGCGGTCATACGACAGAATCACCAGGGATATTAGAGACACAATACCTGCGAACGAGGGAGAAAGAAAGAGGGACATCAGTGTTAGTAAGAATATGGCCTGTAAATCCTTGGGCATAGTCCGCTGTTCTTTCACACAATGGGTAAGTGCTGGATAGATAGATAATGATTTAGTGCTGGCTTGATAGGTAAGTAGGCAGGTGGGTAGGTAGGTAGAAAATGCACCCAACTTCTAAGACTGAACTTTGGAGGGGTGGAAAAATATCTCTGCAGATTTCTTTGAAAAACTGAAAGCAAGTCTCCTGAAAAGACTGGAAGCTATAATAGATAGACAGACAGACATGTTCACATTCTGCATTGTCACTGTCAACCTCTAGACTGGAACGTGGGGGTCTTTCTTAAAAAAGGACAAAAAAACAACCACAGGTACACCTCTAAAATACACCCAAAAACACACCTGCTGTCAGAGCTAGACCACATCACACTTTCTGTAACCTCTTTTAGCACTTTTCTGGCTCCTTTGTTTGTCATAAGCCTCTGGAGTCCCTTATATTTTCATGCACTCACAATATCTTCAAAAGGCCACGGAAAGTCCTCAAGTCCACCTTGTTCTTTATTTTTTCATGGACTCACAATATCTTCAAAAGGTCACTGGAAGTTTCATTGTACTTCGTAGGTTATGTCATTATATATCAGGGGTGTCCAATCGTATCCGCAGAGGGCTGGTGTGCCTGCAGGTTATCACTCCAACAAAGCAGGAGGTCACCTGATGAAATGTTTGAAGTTTAAGACCAACTGATTTAACAAGCAGAATCAGGTGTGTTTCAGCTAGTTTGGATTGAAAACCTGCAGCCACACCAGACCTTTGCGGATAAGATTGGACACCCCTGTTGTATATCAAGGCCAGGGACATCCCCAGCATTTTCTTAAAACAGGCAAATTAATATCGCCAAATTAATATCACCAATGTAATAGAAAGGGAGTAAACATAATACTTTCACTACCATCCTATGATGTTTTTACCATCTTCTGATGATTATGCAGTTACTTTAAGGCAGCGAGGAGCTGAGGGTCAGCCAGGGGTCTGTTTAGGCTGATTTTTCTCTCTTCATTTCTGTCAGTATGTTAACACAGTTGCCAAGCTTTTGTCCAGTTCCACTCAATATCATGCCTTGACTTTCTGCTCATCATTAGGTGCAAGCTATTAACTGAAGTTCACTTCAAAGGTACATTCCTCCCTGTCGTCAACTGTACAAAAATTAATAGAATTCTATGAAACATACACTTTTGTTGCAACTGAAAATTGACATAAACTGATAGAATAATAGCAAGTGTTAATAACAGTATCTTGGGAGAAGAAGCCATCAGGACAGGAATATCATTATGCAGTTAATGTAATTAAATTAAGAGACAGCTGCTTCAATTCATATTAAAATACAATAGTAGTTAAAATATAATATGTCAGAGACATCCCCAGCATTTTCTTAAAACAGGCCCCAGATTTCTAAAATAGAACCGCTTACTATCAAGTATGTATTAGAAAGGGAGTAAACATAATACTTTCACTACCATCCTATGATGTTTTACCATCTTCTGATGTTAATGCAGTTACTGTAAGGCAGCGAGGAGCTGAGGGTCATCCAGGGGTCTGTTGAGGCATTTGTCTGATTTTTGTCTCTCTTCATTTCTGTCAGTTTGTTAAGGCAGTTGCCAGAGTTGTACTAGAGTTCTTTGAAACATACACTTTTGTTGCAATCATTGGCATAAACTGATCGAATAATAACAAGTGCACTATCTTGGGAGAAGAAGCCCCCAGGGAAGGAATATCATTATGCAAATAATATAATCACTTTAAGTGACAGCTGCCTCAATTTCACATAAATATAAAAGTTTTTTGTGTTGTACTTTGATTATTAACACAACCTTCTGAAAAATGCAAATTATTTGGCATATAAATTATACATTCTGTAAAATTTAGATGACAAATTGTTATGAGATTCTTGGAGGGGGCTTTTTGCGTGGACAGTGAGGCATAATGCCTGTTTTAAAAATGTTAATTTTTTTATGCTACAAAAAAAAAATATGTCTGCTCTTCCAGTTTATTCAATCCTGTCCATGTGTAGGTTTTTGCATCATCATCCTGTACATGCTAAACTCATGTACTGAGATGATTTAGCTTCATAGCACATGGACATTCTTAAAAGGGGCATCTTCATTCAATTTTCCATACATGCAAAGAAGCATATGAATCATTTTTCTTTTTTATAATTATGTTTATATTTTATATATTAAAAGCCATGAGATGTAAAGGACTTAAGTTCATAGTAGAAGTATGGGAAAGACATATGAGAGTGAAACAATGCTTTAGGGCCTGTGTTATCCAATTAGAGCTCAGAGTCATGCCACAGAAGGACTTTTGGTTCCCTAAAGAACCTTTTATGGATGGAATATTCCAGCATCTAACCTCTATGTGCTGCATTTGTGATGTATAGTCAGTTATCACGTATAACAGTTTACACATTTGCCTGTTCTTAGTAAAAGAACAGAAATCTCATTCATTAAAACACACTGGTGTCTATCATAAGTGTTCGGAGTCAGTGTGTTTTCTGTTATTTTACTGACTACAGAGAAATGTGTGTAAATCATTGCTTGTGGTAAATGGCCATAAGGCAGAGACATGCCTCAGTAGATATTTCTCCTGAGCAAAAAAGCACAGTAATCTTATATGTGTCTCCTCTTTAGCTGTGGTATAGATCTCTATATAATTAAATTCAATAAAACTCATGTTTCTCTGCAACTGTATAAAAGACAAGAATCTCAATATGAACTCAACCACTTCACCATTTATCATCCAAGAAACCTCTCTGCTGATGCTGTGAGCAACTAGTATCATTTTTATCTGGGACTAAAGTAACTCCTGTCTTTTTATTGTCTACTGTTATTTCTACTGAGGCAGACATGTTTACAGATAGACCCCAGGGGGGCTTGATTCCCTGTACAAGTCCCCTCTTGGTTGTTATATATAATAATCGTATTTTGTTGTGTTGTAATACTCAAGTGTGTTAATGCTCCAGACCCCACAGTGGCCAGTGTAGCAGGAAACATTACAGCCTTGTATACTAGAAACTGGGGTTCAGCTCCCTGCCAAGGCAATAGTGCCTTGCAAAAACCCTTTAACGCTATATGTGGTTCTCTCCGAAACATGATTACCCTGTCTCTCTTGATAATATGACATAAAGTGAACTGAATTTAATTCAAAATCATGTTGCCCTTTTTCCCCTTGAGCACCTGCCACCTAAAAGCCCCCACCATTCACTGTGGTATGTTCCTTTAAAGAACCATCCAATGAAAGGTACTTTAGGGAACCAAAGGTGTTTTTTTCTATAAAATGGCTCCAAAGAACCTTTTGGCCCCTTTATTTTGAAACATAATTATGTAGAATTGAGGATAGGAGAGAGTGAACAAATGGAGCAGGAAGAAAAGAAAAGAGGATAAATGAAGGTAAAATCAATGGAGAGTCACTGAGAGAAAGGGGTGAAGAATAAATAGAAGTACACACACACACCACACACACAAGCTCAAAGGTTGTTTCGCAGGGCTGCGGTAAGTGCATCCACTCCTCACAGAAGCCTGCTGTGAGCTGAGACACACACACAGCAGCAGCATGGCTTCACACTGCCAGCACTTTCAGAAATCGCAGCACAAAAGCCACCCTACCTCAGTCACCTGCTGAGCAAAACCCACTCAGATCAGCTAATCAGCAGAGATCAGCTACTACTGTAATGGAACACTTATATTCAAAAGATTTGAACTGAGAACCATTAAGTAAAAAAAAGTCAAGTGGATTCATCACTAGATCTAAGGAACAGGTAAAGTTATACACGCTGGATCATGTGCCCTTTTGTTTACTCAATCATAAAGATACTGAACCTACAAAAGAAAGAATACAGCCATTCACAGTGAGCAAAGCAGACGCAAAAGCATAAAATACTTATTTAAAAAAATATTGACATACATATTTATATATATATTTATATATATACTGACAACATTGTCATAAGGGGCTTTAAATTAAAGAATCATTTATAACACTGTTATTAGCATTGCATCCAAGTAGTGGAACTTATAAAGCAAAGGCCCTACTGTCAGTTGTAGGAATAGATGTAAATCGGGAATTTGGCGAAATTTCTGTATAATTAAATAGTTAAGAACTTTTTTTTCAAATACTTAATGGTGCAGAGGTATATGCAGAGCGCTGTAAGACAAAATACTTTCTATTTTTTGAAAATTTGAAACTATTATTTGAAACTATTCTTAATTTACTTATTGTTTTTGACATTTTATTGAAAATGTTAGCAAAAATCTAACCTTTATTTAAAGTACAATGATTGAAAGAAAAAAGTCTTTTAATAAAAAAATATATATTTTTCTAAAATCTGTGTGTGCCACAATTAGTGGCACCCCTAGAAATTCTTAAGAGTGAAGTCTAACTGAAGTATATTTCTATTTATATTTTACGAGCAATTACGAACACTTTAGTGGTCAGCCATGACTTCCTGATTTACTAGGCAATATATATGAGATGAAACACAGGCCAGATTCCCTCAGTCATTCATCATTATGAGAAAGACCAGAGAAAATAGCAATGATGTATGACAAAATGTTACTGAGCTGCACAAATCTTGGCTACAAGAAAATAGCTAAACAGTAGAAAATGCCCTATTTCCACTATCAGGGCAATAATTGAAAAGTGTAAACAACTGGAGATTTTAAGAATCTGCCAAGAAAAGGATGTATGTCTATACTGACCCCTAGTTTCTCTACAGGGAACCATTTCATATCAAACCACTGTCAATGACTGTTTACATCTCAGTGATTAAATCACATAGACATTTGGTAAAAATATATGCAGAAAACTATTCTGTTTAGTGACACAGTGCAATGTACCTTATAGCATTAATGTTTAGTTATACAATGGGACACAGCAACCAATCAGGAGAAGAGAAGGTGCATATCTGCACCCACCCAAACCCACTTAAAAGAATATT